TTTTTTTTTTTTTTTGTATCTTTTTTTTTTTCCCTCTTGACAGTAAGTATTCAGCATATTGTCGAAAGAAGCAAGTTTTTAATTACTTTATAGCGTTTAAACTTGACAAACACGCTCATAACAGTAGGCGGCCCAGGATTGTGGAAGACTGTATTCATTGAAAAATACAACAAAAATTTTTTGAAGGACAAAAATACAAAGACTTGACCTTTGCCAAGTCTTCGAGTTTTTGGGTCCTACTTTACAAGAAAAATCATTTTTTCAATTAATTAGTTTCTTACTCATGTTTTAAGACTATCCAAGAAAATACCTGTAAAACTTGTTTGGCTTAACTGTAAAGCTAGAAGAAACTTGCTTATTTCAACTTTAAGAAGGGTGTAACTATACACATTTTCTCGGTCGATCTGGACAAAATACCGAAAGATAAAAGACGCAAAGACAAACATGCTCAAACGATTTCCTCCCCCGCATTGTATCCTTCAAAACTAGCATGCAGTATTGATTATGTATTACAAATTGCTGTTGAGATGCATCCATATTGCAGAAACATAAATTTATTCTCTTATGTATTAATACACTTTTTGGATTATGATTTATGAAGACGATACTAGTTCTGATACAAATTAATTTTTACCCCCAGCATATCTAGGATCCCAAGTACTTGTCAAACTTAGTGTTTGTAGCCCTCGACAGGAACTTCATGCAGATTGGAGGTTTCACCCCGACTAGAGCTAGCACAGAGCTAGGCAAACTCCAGTTGCCATCTCCACAAATCAAACCTGAAGCTACTGCAGGCCAAAAGGCATCTGCCTTGGCTCTGTTTATCTTCTGCCACACAAAAAGTATGAGGCTACCAACACACATATCAATGGCAAAATAGGAACCCAAATAAAACGGTAACGCCATTGCCATTGGAAGTGGAATAAACCACGAACGTTTTTTTCCTAGACCATCTCTTATTAAGTTGATGAAAATGGATGCAGCAAAAAATCCATAGCATAGCTTGAGGCATTCCTTTGGTAAAGCTGAGAATCCTTCAACCCCAAGTTTAGCCATGTTATAGTAGACAGTAGCAAAGGGAACGGGATATTCACTTGTAGGAAGCCCAAGATCAGGAAAAGCTTCGTAGAAAACCCAAAACACACAAGGAGAAATCACACATCCCATAGCAGTGCCAATCACTTGGCTCACAAACATTGAACGGGGTGAAGCCAAGGTTAAGTAACCTGTCTTAAAATCCTGCATGATGTCAGAGGCAGTGGAAACTATATTCATCATCACTCCACATGCTGCTAAACCAGCAAGGGTTCCACCATGTGAGGCCCCTGCCCATGCCCCAATTGTAAAGATGGCTAGCTTCCCGTAGGTAGATGCGAGTGACCAATCAGTGAGCCCACACCCAAATGCATTACAGAAGGCCAAGCTTGGTGCAAAGACATAGATAACAATTAAGTTGTACCACTTGAGCTGGTGGAAGATTTGAGGAAGGATTGCAGTCGAGACTGCTGCAAGGGTGAAATAGCCTCCAATTGCAAACCATGTTGGGATTTTATCTTTGAGAAATAGTTGGGTACGACGTTGGTTGTCATAGGAGAGTGATTTTCCGACAGGAGAGGAATGTTCTACCACTGGGATTTGCATACTTGCATTTCTGAGTTGAATTTTGTTAAACAACCCAGCTAGAGTTCGGCTGAAAACCTTGAAAAAGTTGTATAGGCCATCACCGAGTATCATGGCAATGCCAATGAATACCTGATGTAATTTTAGTTGACATTCTGTTATAGTGAATGGTACTTGATAAAAAAAAATTAATATTCAGTATTGGGTGAAATTTATGGTGTATTAGGAATTCACCTTGTAACCTTGAAGCCCCTGCAAACTATGTGGGTCTAGATCAGCAGAATACCAATCACCCTTTCTAGTTTCAATTAGAGGCCACAAAATACCCCACGACAGAATTCCTCCAACAAGAATGGAAACATTTACGATGTGAGGACAGATCATCCCTACTCCAACAAAAGTTGCCGAGAAATCGAAGAAAAAACTGTAGTTCGAAGACAGAAGTTTAAGCCACAGAAAAAATGACTTAAGTTCATGATTGTTAACTTTAATGCTAGCAGGGGCAGGACTTAACTAGATCAGGCGTCAGTTCAAGTCTATTGTAGGTTTAAAAAATGAGTATTAATTTGAAAAGCGGTCAAAAATCCAGACCATTCTTCAATTGCAAGATGCGTAGTCCTACGACTGTGTGGTGAGTTAAGCAAAAAGAAGCGAAGACATTTTACTTTGCTAAATAAGAAAAAGAACATTTGCTGCTTACGTGTTTTCATATGCTTTTAATCCAAATATTGGGAAGTTTGAGAATCCACAATCATCACCAGCCGTGAAGAACCATTGGAAGAAACCCCATAAGAAGCTAAAGGTGTAAAACTTGCCCAATTCTCTGACTTGTTTCCTAAATACAAATGTAAAAATCCTTCTTATTCTAATATCTTTCGCTCACTTTTTGTTGTTAATTTCTATATTAACTTATAAATGAGATGTTAGTTATAACAGGAATGGCAACTTACTTTGCTAGTTCGGCTCCTTCGGGAGTGTGGAAGCTATTAATAAGATGTGCAGTAGCAGTACCACTAGGATAGGTCAACTTGAAGTCTATTATCATTGTCTACACAAAAAAAGGTGGTACATCATCACGATCCATTAGATATTATTTGTTAAATTCTATGGAGCTTAATCATGAGATTTTGCGTAATATGGCTTATTCAGTAGTTTTCTTCTTTCACTAAACTCAAATTTGTCTTAGCAAAGGATAAGGAGTACCTTTCGGAGAGGCAACACAGAAAAAAGTCCCAGAAAGCTAACCACAAAAAGAAAGCTTATCATCCAGCCTATTTCTGGGTTCTTGTAGTCCAGTCCATATTTGGCTTCTCCTAATTGTTTGGCAACACGTTCGCTCATTCCAGTTAGATAACTTCCAAAGCCTCCTGTACAAGATCAGGTTGAATTTTCTTTATGGAAAAAGTGTTCGTGTGTGAGAGGGGAAGAAGAAGAAGAATTAGGAGCATATTTACTGACCGCTAAAGGAGATGCCAGAGGAGGCAACTACGCAGGTTTGAATGACGGTATTTTCTTGGCGGGTGAAAGGCAGTTTCAACATGCCAGATTTCTCGAGTAGTTTTGTCCAAGTCTTGACGAAGAAGAATCCCAACAGACCGGCCGGGATATTCAGAGATGGTATAATACCAATAGTGAGATTGAGCTTCATTATTGTGAAGCAGAACATCACTGACAACAAGAAACTCACTGCAAAAGCTCTCATTGTTAACTGTTTTCTCCATGAAGGCACCTCCGTATTCTCAAATATCCTCTCTACTGACAATTCTTCATCTTCCAATCTCATTCCATTTTCTGTATTATTTTCCCATCGATTGTCCATCTCTCCCCTCCAGTCCACTTTGGATTTTAACTTTAGACCGTTCAAGGAATCTTTCTTTTGTAGATAGTTTATTTATTGAAGGAACTGGGATGTAATTACGAAGACTTGAGTGGAATCACATATTGGATTCAAGGGTGTGGGGGCAAGAAAGCAACTTGCACATGTCATAATACTACCTCAATTCATGGAATGACTTCTTAAGTTCTGTCACTCTCAAATCTCAATGCTGTCAAAATTGGACCAGACTTGCTGGTTCGATCCCAAAAATTGAAAGCTACTCCGATTTTGTGTAAAAACAGTGAAGTTAGAAACTGTTTAAACAAATCAAGAACCGATCGATTTAACTCTATCTTGCATCCAATTAACTCATTGGGTGTTGGAATACTAGGGAATGACAAGTTAGAAATTACTCCTTACAACCATCCAACTAAGACCACCTTCGGCTATGCTGCACAAGTTTACTTATAAGTAAATAAGTTTCAAAATAAATAATTTATTTACAAATCTACATTAGAAATAAGTTAATTATTTTGACAATAAGGTTATAGTTACATCTAGAATAAACATATATTTAAAAATAAGAAAGAAAAAGTAAGTTATCACGTAAATGTAACTTAAAAGTGATTTAAAAGATTAAAGTAATGTTATGTAACCCCACTGAAAATACAACCCCATTATAGGTCGTTAATGTAACATTAAATTATAAATCTATCATTTATTGTCACATTGACGCACCGTGGCGTTAATGTGGCATTAAATGATGAAGCATTAAATGATAGGTCCATTATTTAATGTCACATTAATGCCACCTAAACTGATGTTGTAACCCAAATGTGTTTAAATAGCATTACTCTTAAGATTAGCAGAGCGTGCTCTAAGCCAACAGCTTTTCATCTAAATCTTAAATTGCGTTAGTTCACACTTGGAATGAATCTTGATCAATCTTCACACTAGTTAAGCAATCAACTTAATAACATAAAAAGTAATGTAAAAAGATGATAGATTTAGAAAATTGAAAATATCTAAGAAACCACTTATTTTACCACTCAAACTTTGAGATGAATTCAATTATTGTTGCAAAACAGACAAAATGTCACCTAAATAATCACAATCATGGACATAGTTATTAAAACCAGCCCGGCCCGAATGGGTCGGCCCGGAACCCGCCAAACCGGGAAGAGTTTCAGACCGATTTGTACATTTTGATCGGAAAGCATATGAACCGGTTAAGAACCAATAAAATCGGAAAAAAATCATCCGAACTACCCGATTTTTAATAAAGCTCGGGAGTCAGCCGGCCCGGCCCGTACACAACAATTTATACAAAAGTATGTGTTTGTCTAAAATGTGAATTCCAATTTGAAAAAATCATAGAATACACCATGTTACTAACCAACATACAATTCTGACTTTTGCACTATTTATAGAGAGAGAGACAGAGAGAGAAAATTTCACTTAAAAAAATAAAATTATTTGTACGTATGAATCAACAATGACTCACCGGTTGAACCAGTTACCCGATAACCCGATGAATTATCTTAGTCGATGATCGGGTCGAGTCTAATAACTATGATCATGGACAAGACTTGTCTATGATATTTTTCGTATTGACGGAAAATTAGTATTTTTTTCCACTATTAATATTCTACAATCCTCAAAACTACTGATAGGTACCATCTTGATCACGACATTCATTTTGTCATCACCAATGGAACTATGTAGAAGTCTTCGAGGCAACACTAACTGTAAGTATTATGAAAATTGCTATGAGTAGTTATCAAGAGACTAGATACATGAAAAATAAAATCTAGAATAAATTATATTAATATGCTTGGCTTTTCTTTTGTTTTGCCTACAAAAGAAAGGTGTCCTCTTGCTTTTCCTTTTTTGTATCATAATTTTTTTTAATTTTTTTTTTTCTCTTGACGGTAAAATGAAGTATTGAACTTATTGTCGAAAGAAGCAAGTCTTCAACTACTTTATAGGTTTTCAACTTGACAAACACGGGTTGTACTTGTTTTCATTTAATAAAATTCATATCCTAAGGCTTGGATTTTCAAGTTAGGATATTTTACCCAAAAAAAAAAACTTGACAAACACGCTCATAATAATGGGGGCGTGGATAACACTTCGAAGACTTGACCCTTACCAAGTCTTCAAGTCCCAAGTCTTCGAATTGTTGGGTCTTCACAAGAAAAATCATCTTTTCAATTAATTAGCCTATGTTTGATTCCCATTTTTTCCAAAATACATTTTTCTCTTTCTTCTTTTCAATTACACATTTTTCATTAAAATAATATTACACGCAAATCAAAAAAATTCCTCATTTTTTTACCACACATTCTCAATCAATTTACTATTCTAAATACATTTTTCAAAAATAATGGAGCTTAAACTCCTCAGTTTCTCATACGCATGGTCTAAGACTATCCAAGAAAATATCTGTAAAACTTGTTTGGCTCAACTATAAAGCTACAAAATAGAAGAAACTTGCTTATTTCGTCATCAAGAAGGGTGTAACTACACCACATTTTCTTTGTCAAAATGGACAACACAAAATACCAAAAGATAAAAGAAGCAAAGGCAAACATGCTCACACGATTTCCTCCTCAATTTGTTTCCATCAAAACTTGAACTATAAGTGCATCATGTATTAGATATGACTCGTATAATTGAAGAGTATGGTGAACAATATTCTAACTTCATTTTCTCTAAACTACTGTCAAACATGCCAAAATGTGTCCAACCTAATAAACTCTACAGGTCGTGATAGCCATATAACCGCAGATAATTCTTATTGGTTTTGTGACCTTCACCTTCCAAATCAAAATATGACAAAAGAAAAACAAGTGACTGACTTGAAATAATCTACAAAGCTAAACGACAAACACGAAAGTATGCTGCTGAGCTAAAACCTCGGCTTACCAATTGCTATACAACGACAACTAAGCATTAGCACTAGCCAGTACTCCATGAGAAATCAGAAATATGTACATACACGAAATTACTAGGTTCTCCCAGACAGAAAGAACTCGAAATCAGGCTGTCTGTTTACAAATGTCTGACTTCCTTTTAAAATCACAGCACGAGCCATAAGAGATGCTGTCTGCTCGAGAGTCCTCAATCGCTCTTTCAAAATTCCCCGAGTGTCCGCTGTCGGAATTTTTTCAGGGAGCCTAGGACGGAACCAGCATTCACCCTGCTCGTTTGCCATTCATATACAAAATGAAATTACAAGAGAAACTAGATTGGAAGCAAAATACATTCAAAGATTAATAATGAAGTTCATGGACAGTACTTCTGTTCATAGATAGAACAGAGAAACTATCAAGTTCGGTACCAATAGAAGTGTGCCTTTATTAGGTACACGTTTTTTTTTTTTAAAGGAAACAAAGAATATAAATTATGAGCGAATCATCCGTGGACGAGCAGCTCCTATAATATCTCCAAAGAGAAGAAGGCTTGCGCTTGATGGGGGGCCATCATACCAAATGAAACGATCTATCTGATCAAAAGCCAAGTTGGCCATATGGTCAGCAATAGTATTAGCTTCCCTGATTATTAAGTACACGTTAATAAACCAGGTTCAGTGTTCATTTTGAACGTACAAGAAAATGGTCAAGTTCAGTAAAAATGCAGCAATTCTGTAATTGCAGTAAAAGAGTGTGTTTCTACCATGCAATAAAAGACTCCAATTCCAGGAAGTTTCTAACTGATCGAGAGGGAGAGAGGCTACATCTTTCTCTTTTTTGCCACACACAGTAAAACTAAGTCTTACTTCCAATAAATTTGGACAATTATTCTTCCTCTTTTGCCATAATTGATCAAATTTGCAACAGATTATCATAAGCAAATTAATGTTACATACGTTTGTGGTCATTTAACATTGCAATTTGATGCAGTCATATGCTGGATGTAATTATTGAAAAATAACTCTCCTTTTGCATCATTCATGATATTCTTTTTGGTCTTCATCGTATTCCACCAAAGTAAAATTCTCTCAATGTCATTCACGGGCAAGATTGTCTTGATCTTCTAGTGAAGATAACCAGCTAGAATTGAGTTTCTTGTTGCCTATTAGCAGCAACAAATCTTGACATTCAACATCAGTGGAGAAAATAAGGAAGGGGAGTTTTAAGAGAATAAATCAATGGAGGAAAGCAAGGAATCATTGAGACAAATTGATCAAGATGATTGATGATTATGATGATGTGCTTAATTTTATACTCATATGGTGGAGTATGGGACTGTTAAAGTGTGTCAAAGGCTTACTAATTTTTCAAAGTATTGTGATTAAAAGTTGTAGAAGAGATAACAAGATTTTGACTTGTTTTCGGCAAGGTAAAGATTGTTAGGTAATTGCCTCAAAAGTCAAAGTTGGAGGATAGAAGGATTACAAATATAACTTTAAGTTGGAGAAATGTTGGGTAAAGTCATATTTCTTCTTGACTAAGAAATTCATTTCTTAGCAAAAGAAGATGGCAAATTGGCTCTCTTCTCCAAGGAGGAGAAGAAGTTAGAATGAAATTCTCTACATCCACCTCCTTGATTCCACCTCTTTTCCCCTCTATAAATACACGTCTCTTCTCCTCAATTGATAAAAAAATCTTGGAGGAAGAAAATCATAGTTTAGAGAAAAGAAAGAAAAAGCTTTGACGGTCCATTTGTGCGTTATATTATTTATTTTTCTTTGTTTCCTAATATTCTCCTTAACAACAAACGATGTGGGTAATAGAAAGAAAGGAAATTGGGGTAAATTTTCCAATTTCCCAACATAGATAAAGGCATTTAATTGAATAGCTCTGTCAAGGAAATGCAACTGTGTGCTCATGCAGGTTCTCTACTGGTGAAATCAGTGAATGACTGCCATTTCAAAGTATTTACACGTGCAGATTTTGGTCATTTAGATAAAAATATGGTTACGTATTTCAGTATAATATAATGTATGCCGTAAGATTAAATGACAAATATAAAGAAGAGGTAAAGTAAAAATAAATTTA